ACTAATTTAATCATTTTTATCTTCCGACAAGCAGAACATTCGCATTCATTTGGAGTGGTGTTTCTGGTCACCTGGTGAATGTGAGTCCAATATCCAATGCTCTTTTAGCTTTGTGAAAAATCATCTCGTTAGCTGCTAAATGCTCCACTTGGTGGTATACAATTAGAAGTGTTTTTTCTTTTACTAAAAACAGCTCCCAAAATGACAATAACGGTAAACTTGCCTGTTGAAAAAACAATGGTTAACCTCGACAGTCTTATGCTCGCTCGACAGTCAATTTGTGATTGACAATTCAACTGGTTGCTCTCTGACAGGTGCATCCAATTAATCACTAATGTAAATTAGCCGAAACCGGTAATGGTAATGACCTACCTAAAACATTTACTACAAACTAGTAGATTTTAAAGTTACCGTGTTTGTGATATAGTCCAGCATTAAAGAGCTGAGAGTGCGCCATCAAAAAGCCTATTTAGAGACTCTGAAAGCTTCCTCATAGCCAGAAATCTGTGATTCACTAAAGTAGAGATAGAAAAACACACTTTCTGCCTCACACTCTGTATTCAGACACCAGTGTGACGTCAAGACATTTGGCAGTGGCAAACAACAAGTAGACTGGTGCCCGGCTCCAGGTGAGACGGTCCCCTGCCACCGCCTCGTCTCCCGACCTCAAATAGCAGCGGGCCAGCTGCTGTGTGCATCGTGAAGAGCTGCTCCCCGACACAGGCCCGGTGTGCTTTCCCATGACAAGAGCCTATTAAATTGAAATTAGCACTGTTTTGTATGATCAAATAAAATAACAGAGGTCACGGGCTGAATGCATTAGCACAGGCCTCGGTAGAATTCAGAGAACATTGTGCGCTGCTTGTTGATCAGGCTGTCTGGAGACCTTTTGCCAGGACAACAACCCAACACACAACCAGCTGTTGTGGTATAATGTAATATATAAAGTCTTAAACCGAGTGACTGAGCTGGATTTGAGGTATCACTGACAGCATCAAATAAAATGTTTTTTTTGCAGAAAATGTGCCAGCAGTCTATTCCCAAAACAACGTGGCAAACATGACAGATTCAACACTAAAATACTGCCAAATATTCAGGATCCACCTTCACAGAGACGGAGAAGGAAGCAGAGAGAAGAAGAGAGAGACTGTTCATCAGCATCCTTCTGCTCTATTTTTAGCTTGACGCTGAATCTCAGCAAAACAGCAGGGTAGGCTACCCATTTATTCTATTTGGACAGCAAATGAAAAAACATACCACTTCGGACAGATCCAATTTCATCAAATATGACAAATACGAAATGCTCCGAGGTGCCATATCTCACACTGAGCGCGGAAATGGTTCATAACGTCTTAGGGAGGACAAACAGTAGGGATCAGTTAAGACTCTGGGAGGGAAGGATGACGAAGATGACTGAAAAATATGAAGAATTCTTAAAGAGATTTGGCAGCACAAGACCTATCTGGCTTCAGAACGCAGCTGGAACTGAGCATCTGCATTTCCCTAAACAAAGTAAAATTAAACAAAAAAACAACATGTGTAAAATGGCTAATTGTCATCTTTGAATGTGTATTCAACAACATTAAGAGTCTACAGCCATGCTAGCAGCCCTGTGAGGTTGTAGTGGTCATGGCGGTGCTTTGAGCTAAATGCTAACGCACGTTATTACGGTAAACTTATCAACAGAAAGGACTTCTGAGGCTGATGGGAATTAGTTTTGCAGCTATTTGGTCATAAACTGAAGTGTTGAATAAATTAAAATATTATCCAGATACTGACGCTAGATGAAACGTTAAAGGACCAGTGTGTAGGACTTAGTGGCATCTAGCGGTGACAATATCCCTCCACTAACCCCTCCCTTTCCAAGCATGTCGGCGGGCTACGGTGGCCTTCAAGTAACGCCAAAAAAACCCCCCGTAAAAGGCTTCCTCTACAGCCAGTGTTTGGTTTGTCCATTCTGGGCTACTGTAGAAACATGGCGGTGCAACTAGCAGACGAAATTACAAGGATTCTTAGTTTCAGCTGATTATACACTAATAAAAACATAGTTTTCTGTCTATAGATGCCCCGGAATCCTAAACACAGGACCTCAAAGGCATCACCCAAGTGACTACAATTCATCTTCAGGGGGACATGAACATGTGCAACAAATTTCATGGTAATTCATTTATCAAGACATTTAATCCAAAACCACAAAACGCAACCTCACGATGGCGGCGCCAGGGAAAAGCTAGGTATCACGGACCACCGAAGTCATTAACGTACATCATCTGGGAACCATGAATATTGTAGTTCACACTAATCCATCGAGAAATTGAACAGTATGAATCAAAAATACTGATCTAGTGGTGGTGCTACATTCAGGGAATCAAGGAAGACAAAAAACGTCATAGCAATCCAACCAATAGTTGTTGAGATACCTCAGCAAGGACCAAGTGGTGGACCAATCAAGTGATTGAAGACAAAAATGGCTATGTTTGAGTCACACCTGCTTTGTTTTGAGGACTGACGCTTTACTCATCACAGCCCCCATAATTCCTGAACCCTCATTACTGCTCGAAATTATCTCAGTAAGTGAATCTGGGCACAGGGCCATCATTTCTGCAGAAGCTGAGAAAAGGCGCTGTAAACTGTAAAGACGGTTCATAAATGCTCGTTGCCATACTTTAATGATGAAAAAAATCGATACAGCACTCCTATATTATCCTTGCCTTTCATTTCATCGTCCTTAACAGTGCAGATGTAGCTCCCATGTGAGTCAAGAGAGAATGTTTAAACTAGAATTAAGAAGTGTAGAATCCCTTGCAGCCCTCTTATAATTGAAAATGACAAAGATAAGAGCTGCGTACATAAGTGAAAGTCTTGAAATTAGAAAAGTCCGTCCTGTCCATGTACATGTAGACTTTAAAGAACAATGATTCTACGGGAGCCGCTCTACTTCACAAGTTATGACGTGAGCTGAGGTCAAGCGATATTTAATGAAAACAGAAACGCCGCCTGCTTGAAATATGAATGCACTACCAATAAACCCATATACTTCCCATTGCTTTTACTCTGCCACCAGCCTGCTGGAGCATCACAGGGTTCATGATTTCATAGAGCTGGGGCTGCGATGATGGAAAGGCCTCACAATGTAGTTTCTATTAGCGAGGGAATTTTACGGTGAGGCTCACTGCAATATAATTAAGATTAACTGAAGAGGCCATCCAGTTGCAGCATTCAAAGAACCAAATTTGTATTGTGAGATCGGCTACTAAAAACCGGACTATTTGCTTGATTTTTTTTTAGAGTGGAACAAATTCTCGGTGACCTGAGAGGCTGCACCTCACATCTTCAAGTACAATTGACACAGATTTGGTACACATGAACAAACTCTTTAAGAACAGTGACCCAAACATCTGTGCCTCGGTTTCAGAATGACAATGACCTTCAGCGTTTTAGGTCTGCATTTATTCCTTTTCCTATTTGTATCATTTACAAGGTCTTTTATTAACCATGTAACTGGCTTATGCCTCATGTTGGATCTACTGTGCTGCCAGTCTTTCTTCAAATCCTCATACCTCTATTTCAAATTAGAAAACCATTGCACTCCTGTATAATTGTTGGCCTCAGAGTGGTTTAAAAAGAGACGACTCGAGATGAATCCAGATACAGAAAATACATTCTCTAAATTGAAGGAGCCCAAGCAGGGATTGAATGGGTTAATGCAGCCACTGATCTCTCAGCCTGGCACTTCTTCTTGAAGACAGGCAAATATTTGATTCTATTTCAGAGACGATCCACTTTGTATGGCAGTGCACCCTCGTATCTAGTGAGGATGTAGACAGCAATATTTTAAAGCCTTAACCATATTGAATAAAATCCCCTCTCCATTGTGACACGTATTGTCCCCACTGAGAGTAATAATGATCTGATATTTTATTGATCTCTGCAGGGAAATTGTCTTTCTGCCCTCGCCTCGTGGAAAAGGGCGGAGCACAAACCCGACATACAGTACAAACAGCAAGCCTGAAGCTGAGAGAGGTTCAGTGACTTGCTCAAAGGCTCTTCAGCTCGGGCAGAGATGCTTGACGTCACAAGGAAATAGACCCCGGGCCCCAGAGCGATGAAAAGCCGGACTAGTCACAATGCCCCCCCATGCTGGCTCCAGCATGATTGTCAGGATTTTACATTAGCTAGAAAGTAGAACCTGTGTGTTGTTGCATCAAATACACAAAGAAGAAAGGCACTGGGCTTCCAGTGGTCTATTACACTGCTCAAAATTGCAGTGCTTTCTATTTCATCTATTGTTATGATTGCCTCTTTCTTTGAGCAAGCATAATTTTAAGGCAATACTACTTTTGAATGGGCAACAATAAAGCTTTTATGCAACAGAAATGTCACAACCGCAGGGGCCGGCTGTCCTGGAAACACTGGCGCACACATCCAATTAACAATCAAATGAGCTACATACAAAAACGCCCGCTATTATTAGCAACGCACTGAACTCCTCTGTATTATTCCCGGTTTACTCTTGTCCTGGACATTTATTTTCTGATATAGTGTAATTGTATGAATGGACATGAATAGAACGCAGCACGCATGTGTGCGCTATTTGTGTCCTGTTGATTCTGTGACCTGATTGGGGATTTCAGCAAAAGTTTTTTTAGATACGCTCACATCCTGAATTTGAATAGTGTCAGCTGTTACCAGTTTTTTTTGTTTTTGTTTTTTTTTTTGCCTATGGGACCCTGCAGCATCATCGAATCTGATGGGTCACACATTTCGATGGAACACTGGACCCGCAGAGACAGACAGGACAGATAGAACAGATATGAGGACAGACCAAGCTGGACAGTCCACCGGACACACACACACACACACACACACACAGAGGTCCGTTTTCAGACCGTCGCACATTCCTACAGATTGCATCCAAACATGCAGCGCGCGCGCGTGCCAACATCCAGCGGCACGGTCTACCTGTTAGCACGAGACTGTACGCGTAGTGTGCCCCTTACCTTTTCCTCTCGTCTCCTTTGACATAGTGTCCTCTCCCGCGTGTCTCCGTCTCTCTGAGGTCACTCGGCAAAGCCGTCACGTTAAGTCTGCGACGTTAAACGGCGGCTCGTCCTCCCGCCCGCTGCACCTTGACGCCTGCTGGACTGAAGCGGGGTGAAGCAGGCACGGAGAGCTACAGCTGCCGCGTCGGTCTCCTCTCACCGTGGAGAGGTGGGGGGGGACACAAGAGGAGAGGAGAGACAAAAAAATACTAATTCTGCAGCTGAGCTCTCATTCACCTGAGTCAAGTCTCAGAGCCTCCGAGCATCGACCCGCCCATGCCGCAGACATACTTTGGGTATTTGTTGTATCTGTGCAGACTTGGCTCACATGTCATGCCCACCCCTCCCCTCTCTCCTCTCTCCTCTCCACCGCTAACATCAGCCAGAGTTCCCCCAAAAACAAGACCCCTGTCTGCAGCTCGACTGCCTCCACGCGCACGTCCGCGTGATGCTGAATGGCGTCCCTCCTCTTTTCCTCTCACCGTGTCTGACTTTGGAAAACGCTCAAGAAGTAGGCTATCCTAAATGAAGGGGGGGGGGGCTGTTGTGAAAACACAAATCAATTCCATTGGATGTATTGAAATATGGAAATAAACCGAATGTTTGGTATATAAACAAATCAATGTAATGTCACACAAGTAGCCCCTGTTGTAGACTTTATATTTCGTATTTGTAAAAGAAGATGAGGTATGAAGATTTAGTGAGGGACAAAACATAACAGCAGAACCATTAAAAGAATACTGGAGGTTCTACACAGATGACTACATTTAAAGTTAAAGTGAGTGTCATATAGGGTGTGGTTGTAGCATATCTGCTAGACTATATATAAAATAATTAATATTCCTGTCTGCACAGGCATAAAGGACGAATTACACATCAAATACAAAGTAGGTAAAAATCCTTGCGAGTGTCACACATAAGCCTGTATTGTATAGGCTACAGGATGGAGGTTACAAAGCCTTTTTAAGAGGATGAAGAAAAGATGAGGTGTAAGGATGAAGAGCAGGAGAGACACTAAATCACTGCAAACTAAGGATGAATGGGTGACAGCTAAAACACCTGTCAACCGTCCATCACTGAAGCAGCAGGTATACCGCCTTGGTCATCGGGGGCAGTCACCAGGCAGGAGAGAAAATCAAAGAAATCCTTTTCTCCCATTTCGCTTTAGAGATAAAAGAGAAATGAAGCATATGAATCATGTTCCCGAAACTTTAAATCCTTTTAAATCCTGTTGTGAGATCTGGTCTAATCTGACGGATGCTTTACCTAATGGGTGCCTCTAATTCATTTGTAAGCTCATCTTGATCTGCACTACTGCAATACTTGACCCGAATTGCTGCAAAATAGGATTTCTCACTGAGTGCTTATGGGGCAGACATTACACTCTATAGCGAGGGAAGCCGCCTTATTGATAACACCTGCTGTGTTTACCCCTCCTCCTCCTCCTCCTCCTCCTCCTCCACACACGAGGTCACACAGGCAGTACGACGGTCTGGTCGGGGTGTCGTTTGGCGGCCGTGTCCACACAAATGAATATTGATAGAGGAAAATGCCTGTGGCCAAAAACATTGCCCTGGAATCTGAGGGCTGATCACGCTACGTTTCTAAACTCTATACTAGGAAAAGATGCAGCCAATTTGTATTCGTCATGAAAGCGATGTGACAATACACTCCTGGCCCAGCACACTGAGCTGAGATCCCACAAAGAAGACAACTAATGGGAGAAAGCCTCAAGGCCAGGAAGCCAGCAAGACAGATCACACTGATTACACCAAATGGCTGCACTGACTGGATACAAGTGGGAAAAAAACCAGAGGCTAATTGCATTAAGTGAATCTCTTCTGCAAGAAGAATTCTCTCCATGCCATTGAGCACATAACTCTGAATCCTACAGCGAGTCCACATCAAGAGAGATTGATTTTACAGCAACATCAAAAACGGAGGAAAAAAACACCAGAGAGACCGCCAACCGTGATGTCAAATCAGACCAGAGGCGTAAAGTGTGTGTGTGTGTGTGTGTGTGTGTGAGAGCTTTACTCCTCTGACTCCAAATATGTATTTAATTCACAGCTGTAGTGGTTTCTTTGTAGATCAAGATTTGATGAACAAAACACATTAATAGTCATGTGTTGTTAGGTTAAAATACCGAACAGTAAATAAAGTAGTTAAATGAGTTACACTTTGACCAGCTATACTGTAATATGATGTTTAGAAACTAATGCATCAATAGTAATACATATGTAATACTCTCAAAGGGGCCACTTTGCAGAGTAAGTATTTTAACTTTTAGTTCTTTAAGACGGGTATATTTTGATCATTTTTGAGTTTTACTTTAATATTTCTCTAAATTCAGGACTTGTAGCCCTACTTATAAAGGTTATAGAGTAACAGTGCGGTATAAGGATATGATCCATCTTTTGATCAAGCATCATATCAAAGACTATTTAATTAAATCTCCTCAATTTCTTTTTGGTTGATGATCAAGAAGTGCATGGCTGATAACTTTTGCTTCAATCGAAACCCATTAAATAAACAACCGAGGCTCAGCTCAGCCGACAGGAAAGCAGGAAGTTGAATGAGTTGATGAGGGAGGATCAAGGTGAAGGTCATTCTGCATGTCAGAGTCTCTTCTCCATCTTAACACCGTAATGGGTTTTTCTCCATAACTCTGCTGCATCCACTGCTTCAGACTCACAACCGCTTTGAGGTCGACTTAGAAGCTTTTCAGTCTCACACTCCATCAGTGTGAATTTGGTTGCCTATCTGCAGGGACCCATTCTTCTTCACTTGTTTCATAACTAGCTTCTGGCTCTGAGACCATTGATTATCCCCCCAATAAATGCAAAGCTGCGTCTGAATTAATAATGCAGACAGTCAAAAGCTGCCCAGCAGTCACAGGTGTCTTATGAGGTCCCAGAGTGCAAATGAAGCCTCGAAATGATTTGGACTAAAAGGAACTTTCATGAGGCGGAAAATGCAAACAATGCAAAGTATGTGCATGACAGATGGCTCAGTGAGAAATAATAAACCAACCCTCAAACAGAACATCATTGAGCACAGCAAACAGGAGTGATAAACCATTAGATCTAGTTAAAGTACAGAGCGTCAGCTGAAAACGTTACATAAGCGCCCCACGTGTCACAGCGCGGCCTTGACGCACCTGTACGCCAAAGTGCCCTCTCACAATACATCATGTATACATCGCAGTCAGCTGTGTCCTCTCCAATTCTGAAATGAGCTCTGACAATGAGTCAGTGCTGGCTGGTGTCAAGGTCTAACCTCTCTGACCATTTGCAATAATATGTGCAAACCAGTGCTAGTTTTAGACGATGAACTCTAACATCTGCTTGGGAATGTTCAAGCTTATGTGACAAATGTACATACAGAAAGCAGGGAGCCAATTCTCTGGGTTAGCTGACAACACAGTCTCAGTCAAAAGTGTTGCAAAAATATGAAAATATATTATCTCTCAACTCTCGGCGGACTCGTTTGGACATTTCTGAACCATAACAATGAAAAATTGTCAGAAACTTGCACTTGAAAAATGAACAGTCATTTCCTATTCGCCAACGTCAGAACGACCTCAGTCCTGTTCGTCAGTGTGAAGACAACACCACCTTCGCTTCAAGCCAACCGATTTCCCATTGGTCCTGGATTGCGAAGAAGAAACAGAGCTGGAGCCTGTGAAAGACCGCACGTATTCAGACGCCCACGCAGAAGCCAACGGGAGAGAGAGATCCCAGGCAGCTGATTCAATGTGAGCTAATTCGTTCAGTCACTGTATGTCCCCTGTCAAGGGCTGGTCCCCAGAGGCCAGCAAAACATCTGGATGTGTCCGCTCTGCTCCGACTGCATGGCTTTCATGTTGCTCACAAGGGGCTCAGACATTTTCTCGGTCTGCCGAGTCCATCCTTTGATATTTTGCATTCAGAATTGACAAGGTCAGTGGCAACAGTATATAAACTAGTGGCCATACTCGATTTGGCTCCGAGGAAAGAAATAAACCGAAATGAAGAAAAGCACTGAAGAGATCATTAGAAAAGTGGTGTTTAACCAATTTAATAAAAAGAATGTCAGCACGTTACTCTTTACTGGGATAACACATTTACCAGTGAGGTGTTTGGACCCTTTATTTAGACATTAAAGCAAAAGAGGAACTCAAGTTGTCCTTCCAGCATCATTTCGGTGGGGACCGTATGCAATTCATTTGTTTCTGTATTCCAACGTGAAAATGGAAAGTGTGCGTAATCCTCAGGGATATTTAAACCAAGAGCAAGGGGAGGGCGGTAATCTTATAATCCTCTGTAATGGTCTCTCCAAGCTTATCGAAACTAAACTAACTTTCCCAGCAGAATTCAATCACAGATACAGATGGACCATAAAGGGTACCGTGACTAATGCTCCCTGTACAATTCAACAATCTCGTCCGCTTCATTAAAAATATATCTACAATCCCAATTAAATATAGATCTTTGTAAATTAACTAAATAAGTACATACGTGAAAGAGTTACATTCCAAAATGAAACATCCGCCTGAGAAACTGGAGAGAAATAATCACAGTGCTTGGTCGACAAAAAGACCCGAGGTCTCGGATATTTACATATATCTACAAAATAAATACACATAGTATGTTGTAAGACACTGCTACATCCATGATGCTGTAACATCCCTATTGGCCGACCGAAGCAGCAGATGAAGCAGGAGGTGACTGGGTCGGCTGGAGAAACTCTGAGGTGAAGACGGCCTCGGCGTACTCCTCCACAACATCCTGGAACTCTGCCGCCACGTCAGCCAGAGCCTCCGACAGCAGCTCCTCTGCCAGGCTGAGGGACACGAAAGAACACAGGAATCAGGAAAAGAGAAACATTTTTCATAATTTCATGGAAAAGTCTGAATCTAATCTCTGGCAAATCATGTTCTGCATCACAACAAAACAACCATTTCATAAAACTAGAAAAGAGTCAAGACAATGCGATGGTTGTAATATTCCCTGTTATTATCTATTGTTCTGGCCAATAGATTTGAGACTATAATTGCTAAAGGTACTTAGACACAATAAGATATATAGAGATAGACATATATATAGATATATATAGAGATAGACATATATATAGATAGAGATAGACATATATATAGATATATATAGAGAAAAACATATATAAAGAGAGTTACCTATGCGCTGTAT